TTAATGGTTGAATGAGGGGGACATTGCTTAATTAACCCTAATTCATTTTAATGAAATTCTTAGCTTAGTTTGCTTAATCCTAAGTTAGTTTCTAAGGTAGCGTAATCTTGGGAAAAAGAGTTGGAGCCTATGAAGATTGCTTAATTTGTATGGGACGTTAAGGTTAATTCTTGCTTTTTGAGTTACCCTAATTCAAAGGAATAGGAAAAGTATTGAATCTTGACAGGGATAGGGATAAAATTACATGAACAAACTAAGGATTGCTCATTTCATTGATTGGATTCATTAATTTCATCACTTGCCTTTACATTAAAATTGGAATTACACAAAACCCCCTTGTTTTAATTGCTTTTATAGTAAATGTTTACAACATGTTAAATGTATGTTACAAACCAAAGTCGTTGGAGACAACCTAGGCTTGCATCACAGACTACATAAATTTTTTTGCATATTTTGATGAAGGTTGACGACAAATCTTTTTGCAAATGAAATGAAAAATCATTCATCAACCATCCATAGACGAACGAACAAATTGATCTCTCTAATAAAGAAGATACTTGAGAGAGTGGTGCAACCTCACAGAAAAGATTGGAACCGAAGGCTCGATGATACATTATGGGCACATAGGACTGTATTCAAGACACCTTTGGGCAAGTCCCCATATAGGATTGTCTATAGAAAAACTTTCCATCTACTGGTTAAAATAGAACACAAAGCATATTAGGCAGTGAAGACTTGTAATTTACATTATGACTCAGTTAGAGAACAAAGAAAACTATAATTGCAAGAATTAGAGGAGTTGCATTTAGAGGCTTATGAGAACTCAAGCATCTATAAAGAAAAGACCAAGAGGTACCATGACAAGGTGATATCTAGGAAAGAGTTCTATATTGGTCAAAAGGTCCTCTTGTTCAATTCTCATATCAAATTCATGCCTGAAAAGCTTAGATCAAGGTCGATAGGCCCTTTCACAGTTACAAAGGTACTCCCTCATGGTGTAGTGGAAATCACGAGTGACTCCATTTGTACGAGCTTCATAGTAAATGGACACCACTTAAAGCATTTCCTGCAAAATTCAGTTTCTTTGGAGGAAGTTGAGGAGATTAACTTGCACACCCTTGTCACAGACCTTAACCAACATTGTTATAAGTAATCCACTCTTTATGTCAAGCTAGTGATGTTAAAGAAGCAGTGTGTGAAAGGCAACTCACAGATTTTCTAGGGTTTTTAATTATTTTTCTGCATTCAATAATGGTCTTGCATTTGAGTTGTGATGATTGATAAGTTTACTACATAATTTTGTTGCACAAGCAGCTCACTCTATATTAAACTTGTTAATGACATTTGTTTCTACATAAATTCAATTTTGTAGAAGGAGATTGAAATTCTTGGACCCAAAGTTTGCTTATATTTAAGAAAAAATCAAGTGCAGCAGGAAAGTGATCACTTTCATAATTTAAGGTAGTCACTTTAGGGAGAAAAATGAGAGCTTATCGTTAATGTAATCACTTTTCCAAGCAATAGTAGCTACTTTCAACCTAGGTATGTAACCTTGCTCTCTGTAGTTAGCACTTTTGTAATTGATAGTAACTACTTTAAAGGCTTTTGAGCTAATTGGGATGCGTGTGTCTACTATCCCTTGCGATAGTAGTTATGCGCAAGCACTCTGGGTGTTAGACAGGAAGCTCTTTGTAGTAGCTACTATTATAAACAATAGTGACTATGCAGAGCAATTTTTGAGCACATGCTGTGCGCATGTCTACTATCATGTACAATAGTAGCCACGCACAAGCCTTTTAGATATTTTTGAATTTAAGCATTTCTGTAGTGATTACTATCACTTGCAATAGTAACCACGTGCAGAACCATTTTGTAAAAACACAGTGCGCGTGTGATAGACGATGCCGAGTCGCTATCAAAACAACTGAGTTTTTTAAAGGTTTTGTAGTATAGAGGCAAACCTAGGTCGATTCACGGAGACACATTTTCAGTTAAATTCAATTTCAAGTTTTGTTTAAAGGAATGCAAATAAGTTTTTTTAGGGTTTTGAAAATTGTAAATTAATTAAATTAAATTACAGACAGAATTAAAGTGAGTAAAAATGAATTAAGAATCATCAATCCACAAAATACCAATTGCGTGTAACTCCGACTATCATAGTATCTAAAGATTTAAATCCGTGTTTAAACAACTACCCAATTCAATTATTAATTCAATCGAATATCCTAATTGAATAGGGTTACGAATTAAATCAAATAATCATTTAATCTAATCCACATTAATTATCAAATCAGAGCATCAATCGAGTCCTAATTTGAATTCTAAAAACAGAAAAGTCGATTATGATCGCAATACATAATTCTAAGATTAGAGAGATAAGAGAACAAACTCGCAGTACTTGCTTTCACCCTCACTCTTACTCTCATCCTCTGAGCACTCTCACTCTCGTCTCCAATCTCCTTACATCTTTCCCCCTCGTCTTCACTATTCTGTGCTAAGATCCATCAATTTCTGCACCAATTTTGAACTCCAATCTAGGTAATTTTTCAATTTCCCTCTTTCTACGTTAGGGTTTATCATTTCACAAATTGGGGATTTTGATCTAGAGCTTCCTGCATTGAAATTGTGTAAATTCGGTTATTTGAAGTATGATTGTATGATTGAAAGGGATTGGGGGAGTTTAATTTAGTTACTTTGCTATATTTTGCCATTGTCGTATCCTAGGGTAGCCACTTCCATTTTTGATGGTGAGTATTTTGTATGTTTTAATACAATAGTGACTGCTAAAGCTTCCTCTCTATGGGATAGTCACTTCCTTCACTGCAATTTCACCTATCTTGATTGAATTATATGGTGCTTGCCTAGCCTGAATTCTGCATAACTTGCATCCTAGGGTAGTCATTGTCGTATCTCATTATGACCACTATGTGCTGAGATATCTTGAGCACCAGTAATTGCTCTGAGCCAGCTACATGTGTTGTGAGTACTGGACTGCAATATCAATAACACCATGTTGCACTGCCTCTTTGACCATGTACACACACCAATTACATCATTCTGCCTTATACATTTTACCTTAGACCTGCATTTTCATAGTAGTCGTTGTCATTATGAACTCTGATGCAAGTGTTCACTTTTGGACTATAGTGTCTCTCAAAATTGTTGTGCTATTGTGCTTTTGCATTTTGATATGCATAATCTGTAATGAATCCACTGCATGCATTCTGCCTGGACATTCTTTATTATAGTGTTCATGTTGGCTGCACAACTCCTATTTCCCACTGCACATACACATCTCTGTTAAAATTTTGCAAATTGGAAGTAATCACCTTTGCTGCTAGTAATGATAATTTTGGAATTGCATCGCATATAGCTTGAATGATCTTTATTAAATTTGCAATTGCATACATGGTGGTCTGTCATACTACATTTGGGATTCTGTAGTTGTTTCCTGATAAATGCAGATTTTACCAAGTTTTTATGTAGTTTTCTAGGTTGCTTTTGATAAAAAAGAATGTAATTTGAAAAGTGAAAACTGTACAAAAATATATAAATGTTCAATAAAGTAAATTGTTGTCTTTAATAATTCAAATTATGTGAATTTAATAGAATTTTGATGTAATTTTGTTAGTTTTGTAGGAAACTTTGAGCTGAGATCATAAGATTGAAGGATCAAAAGAAAAACTAGAAGAAAGTAGAAATTTTGTAGACAGAGCAAAGAATAATGAAGTTAAGTGCTAGGCGTTATCACTCTTTCTGAGGAAAGTGATCATTCTAGAGGTTAAGTTTAGAAGTTAACTTGTGCGTTAACACTTTTTTCAACAATAATAACCATGCCCATGAAGAAAGGCTCTGTGTTATCACTATTACAAACAATAGTGATTGTTCCAGAACTGGGGTAAGAAGAATCAATTGCACGTGATCACTGTTTTTTTAGTAAATTCAACACGTGCAAGTCTGAATGGAAGGAATAAGTTCCATGTCATCACTATTTTTTAATAAAGTGAACACGCGCAAGTCTGGTAGAAGAAATAAGTTGCACGTGATCACTATTTTTTAGTAACGTGATCACGCGTATAAGTAAGAAGCAAAATAAGCTGCACGTTGTTACTTTTATTAATAAAAGTGACTGTTCTAGAGAGTATCTAAGCAAAACAAGTTGCGTGTGGCTCTTATTGTGAATAAAAGTGAACACGTACATGTTATCTGAGGTACCTCATCTCTGCGTTGCTATTATTATAAATAAAAGTGATTGTTCCAGTCATGAAGGTTACTAGAAAGGCTTCTGCATGGTTACTTTATTTTATAAAAGTAACCACGCCAAAAAAGCAAAAAATTTTATAAATAAGAGATTAACTTAGAACAAATTTGAAATAAATCTAAATCTTTTTAACTAAAGAAGTTACTTTTTGCAATTTTTTTTACTTTTCACACCCCATCAGTGAATTTTTTAAAATGACCAAGAACAAGAGTTTTGATCTTCTTGCAGTGAATTACTAAGTAAATAAAAAAACTTTTTAAAATTTTATGATAAATATGAAACTTAAAAATATCTGAACTTTCAATTTAATTGTCATAAAAATTAAAGATATGAGTACTCACAAATTAATTAGAAAAATAAAAATATTCTTTAGAATTACGTTGATGTTGAATTTTTTTTTTAAAAAAGTAAGGATATATTAATAAAAAATAAATAAAAATAATGGTGCAAATTAAAAAAACAAAAAGTAGTACAAACAAAAACTAACACCCTTAACTTGATTTGATTAAATCCAACATAGATTACGTCTGAAAAACTCGTAAAAAATTAAATTTTACCTCCGCCTATAATAAACTGACCGAATGGTAAATTAGCGAATTTTGTCAGCTTTAATTCTTCAAAATTTTTAATTATGTTGGAACTCAATGGAAACCCAGTTAAAGGAGAGCCCAACTTCAAGTTGGGCCCACTATCAACAAAGCTGCTACAGATGTTTTTCGAAAGTAGTTGATAAAAAAATGTAAAAAGATATTATCGGAACTATGACAGTAATAGAATAATCAATTATCCATTAATTCCCGCCTTGGATACCAAGCCGCGCATACCACCACCACTCAACAGGAAAAATGACCCTCCGTCTCGTCTCAGCTCCGCCGTCATTCTCTCTCTTCACCTGCCGCGCCACCTCCCCCACCGCCGTCCCTCTGCCTCCGCCTACTTCTTCAGTTCCACAGCCACCGCCGCTAACGTGCGCACTTCACTGCCCCCACTTCCAATCGTACGTTCCCCTCTCTCTACCTTACCACGCGCCCAACCCCACTTACCCTAATTTTTTTTTAATAATTTTCCGTTTTTAACTATTTATATCACTGGTTTCAGGTGCTCGGGGTGCACGCACGAGTTCAACCTCCACCGTCCGGTTATAATGGAGGACGCCACCGATTTCTTTCGGAAACACGGCGTCTCAGACTTCACATTTGACACTTGCAAACTGGTTCTCTTCTTAATTGTCCAAATGTTTTTGGTTTCACCTTTTTTTTTTCTTTTTAATTAAATTAGCTTTTAATCTTGCAGTGGGGTTGGAGGTGCCGTGCTAAATTGGCCGTGCGTGGCTCTTCGACCGACCCTCTCATTGGCCTCTATGAGGAGGGTTCTCATAACGTTGTTGACATTCCACTCTGCAAAGGTCCACAGTTTGTTTATATATTTATATTATTTGTGAAGAGAGATAGGAATACACTTTCTAAGATACTACTTTTTTTTTTAACTTAGTCGTATTTATTAGTTAACCTTTATTGAAAATTACAAAAGTATCAGTGCTTAAAAGTAAAGTTGATTTTTGTGACTCTCAATACATTTTAAGTAATAATAAAAAAATGTGTTACTAATGTTTTTCTAATGAAAAACATTAACAAATACCTTAAGCATTTGTTTGGGAGTTAATTTTAGGGGGAGAAGAGAGGGAAGATGTAGGTTTATTTGATGGTAACTTTTGTTTGGGAGTTTTGAAATGTGAAGTAGAAATTTTATAAATTATTCAAATATTCGTAAACTCATACTTTTTAGTTTTCTCAAATTGGGTTTTATTTTTTTTTTCTGATAATCCGCCTTCATCTTCTGTTTGCCTTTCCTACCTTACCCCTCAACCCCTCCCTTCCCTCTCTTTTCAAACTTCCAAACAAAGCATTAGTGCCTTCATAGGATTCTATTCTGTGTCTGGATACATTTGAAAAATAGAAGACAACTTAATGAGATTGAAAAATGGTACATTTTGATTTCACTTAAAGAGTAAACCTAAGAAAAATAGACCAAAAGTTTTTCTGTTCTATTTTTATCCCATTCTTCATTTTTTCATGTGAAGTTATTATTATTATTATTATTATTATTATTATTATCAAGTGTTCTCTTTGGCTGATGTGAAAATATGTTAATTAAGCGTTTCTATTATGTCTTCTGTGTGCAGCACATCATCCTAATATTAATGCTGCTGTGGAGCTGGTTAGACAAGGTATTTCCTTGTTGTTATCTCTATGTTTATTTTATTTTATTCTTCAATTATTTATTTATTTGAATAATTTTAAATATGTTTTTCCTCAATATCATCTAGGTATTACTGAAATAGGTGTTGAGCCGTATATTGAAGATGAAGGTACAGGCGATTTGCGATACATCCAGGTGACAAGGTTTATAACAATATCAAATAGGGTAGTTGATAAATTCAGTTAAGAATTGAAGTTTTGAATTTGGTAAAATTAACCACTGGTGGGTGGGTGTTTGCAGATGGCTGTGACAACATACAACACATCTCTTCCTGCAGCAGAAAGATATAAGAATGGTTTGTTACTTCTCTTGCTCATGATTTATGTGAGAAAAAGGAGTTAATATTTTCTTATTGTTAATGGAATTGAATAACCATTATTTCATTTCAATTATGTGGTTTCAGGAAAGGTTCAGGTTACATTGGTTTGGAATTCAAGAAATGAAAATACTCCTGGTTCAGACAAATTGAATGCATTGGCAAATGTGAGCGTACTGCTTCCTTTCTAGTATAATTGTTGTTTTAAAGTGTTATAAATTCCCCTGCTCCTTCCCAATTGGTCATAAAAAGTGATTTTTCATAGGATTGATTGCAGTTTCTATGGAAAAATGGTGGGCCACGGAGCAGGCTTCATTTAGTTCACTCTGTGTGGGCCAACTTTCAGACTTCTACTAACAATGTGAGTTTACATTGTTGTTATGAAACAAATGAATGGTTTGTATGTGATTAAAATGGAAAATGGTATGCTTTGTGTGATATATGGAAGATAGATGTTTTAGTTGTAGTAGGGAAGCAAGGAGAGCTCTTGGTTCATAAACTGCTTTTGAATACCATACAAATCATTTGGTGCTGGAATTTTAAATCAGACATATTGTTGATTCATAATGTTCATATCTTCATTTTTTGTGGGAACAAAGTACTGTTATACTAGTTTTTCTCCAAACATCTTGTGGTGGGCAGACGAAAGAGTTTTAAATATTCTATATCATTTTAGATTTTTCAACTTAGATTGTCTTTGGAAAATGATTTTATATCTAGGGTGACATGAATTATGTTGATAATTCATGTTTGAGGGGGCAATCTTTGGCTGTTGAAATTCTGAAACTTTATATCTCCATTTCAGTTATTACGTAAAAGTTAAAACCAGATTAAGACCCACATGATGTGCAAGCATATAAATAAAAATATTTTTAATTTATATATCATTAAAATAAATATTTTTTAATTTTAAAAATGAAAAACATAAAAGATATTTTACATATTATAAATAAGCATTGGGTTAATATTAAAAAAAAGGAAATATGTTAGTATCATGTAGAATTTTTAGTGAAGTGATATTTATTTATTTGAGTATTGCAATACGACCAATTATCGTATATGGTAGTACATGTCGGACCTTAAAAGAACATGTCAACATGAAAAGAAAGTGAGAGTGACAAAAATGAGAATATTAAAGTAGATGAGTGGTTGCATAAGAAAGGACACGAGAAGAAATGATAATATACAGAAAAATATTGGAGCAACACCTATAGTGAAATAGATAGCTGAAAATCGTTTAAGGTAATTTGGTCATGTATCTTTAGAGGTACTTGTAGAGAGAGTGAATTACCTGTAAAGAGGGGTCGAGGGAGATCCAAAAGAACTTTAGATAAAGTTATTAAAAGATACTTTTTGACTAACTAACTTTTTGGAATTTTGGTTTTTGATCGAGCTTAGCGGCGTTGTGCGATTCATGTAACTAACCTCATCTAGTGGGATAAAGTTTAGTTGTTGTTGATATATATTTATTTTTCAATGTCATTGATAATTTGTAAAACATTTTGATATATGACATTTTCCTAAGAGTATTCAATTTTTCCCATGATAATATTTTGCTTCGGTGACATACAATTTCTTGCTTTTTCTTTAAATATAAGTGCAGGTATATTTATACATCCTTTATTTAAACTTTGTTCATGAATCATGATATATTTCATAGTATCCCTTTGGTCAAATTATATATATATATCAGTACCCTGCAATTCCTGTTTGAAAGAGTAATGTTTGTAAAAAGCAATGGTTGTTGAAGATTGATGATCGTTGAAGACTTAAGAGTAATGGTACAGCAGTAATGATTATTGCTAACATTCATTAATTGAAAAAATATTGTTATTGAAGATGAAATGGTTTGTGTTTTGGTGACTAAAAGGACATGCAACACAAGTAGGAGGAAAATGCATAAGCTTGCAAATGCAATGGCTGGGTGGATCTTAGAAGGTGATGAGTAAGATTATATTTGATGTGGAAAAAATATGTATACACGGCATAAAAATAGATGAGGTGACAATGTGTAAGCCTATGACTCAGTTTTAATATATTATAAATAAATAAAATAAGCGATTGTTAACTTGGATTCCTTGTATGCTGATCTTGCCAACTTTAGACAACTTATGAATAATTCATAAGCATTATGACATGCATGCATAATTGTTTTTATAAATAACTCGTGGCTTTGAAATGCCTACTTGATGGCTCAGATAATTTTTGGGAATAGATGGAGACATCTTCTTGGAGAAAGAGATTTTTGGGAACATGTTGGTGGAATTGATGTGTCCTTGGCCCCTTCTAGTTTTGGCCAGGCAAACACACGGGTAAATACTCTAATTTAGTAAATTTTCGTAATTTATATGGCAGCCAGAGAATGCATTTAGTCTATCTTGAGTTAGTTAGAATTGAAAACATGGACACTAGACACAAAATACAGCACACACAGTACATATTGTATAAATAAATAACTCTTGATGTGTAAGTGTAAATACATATTTATAGTATTGTTAAATCAAGTATATGAAAATATATCTAAATTCTAAACTATGCTTAGTATGTGTGAGATGAGCCTTGGTGCAATAGTAAGGTTGTTGCCTTGTAACTTGAAGCTCATGGGTTCAAATTTTGTAAACCTCTTTACTTGCAGGGGTAAGGCTGCTGCATCTACCTTTACCAAATCCCACAGGGTGGGAGCCTTGTGCATTGGGTCACCTTTTAATTTTTTATGCTTAGTAAATTTAGAAACTTTTTATTTAGGGTAGTTAGAAACATATTTAGGTGTCTTCCATTGTCAACTAATAACTTGTAGGCTTCTTTTGTTTCTAAGAGCATTATATTAAGGTCTCATTTCCTCACTGTGTTAAGGTGAATTTTATGATTTTTAAGTGTCAGGCACGTGTTGGACACAACATGATGTGTTTTTATGCTTGTGTAAGTATTGAACTAAACAAAATCTCCTTAGTATGATGAAGTAGTGAGATGCATGAAAACATGCATTCTGTGTATGCATGAATCCAGTGTTATTGTATGATTGAGGACTGCTGTGCCATTAAGCATGAAAGAACTAATGTGATAGGACTCCTGTCTTGCTTCCTCATTTTTCCAGGCTTTTGATACCTTGCTTCGGAAGTTACAGAAGTATGTTCCACATGAATCATCTGTTGCTGATTTGTATGCTGGAACTGGGGTCATTGGGTTGTCATTAGCTGCCACAAGAAAATGCAGGCAAGACCTGGACCATTCTAAAACTCTAAAATGCTATGTTCTAACTTTCTGTTACATAGTTGATTAGGAGGATTTACTTTTCTAGTTGTCTGACAGATCCATTAAATGCATTGAGATTAACAAAGAGTCAAAGGCATCTTTTGAGAAGACAATTGAACGTTTACCTGCCACTGTTGAAAGCAGTATTACTTGGCATCATGCAGATGCTTCAAAAGTTAGTACCGAGTATCTGAAGCATCATCATATATTTCATGTTTTAACTTTTTTTTGTTATTTCTAATTCACATAACTATCATTACTACAACTTAAATTTTGGTATGCACATTTATTTATCATATGTGAAAATGTTATTTGAAAAGGCTAACTTTTTTTCATAAAACCAAGAGTCATGTGTTATTTGGAACTGATTGTATGAATTGTTTGCAAGTAACAGGAACCTTTTTTGTGGCTTGTGGGGTCAGATGTTGTTGTCATTGATCCTCCCAGGAAAGGACTTGATGCATCTCTTATTGATGCATTGAAGAATATATCAGCAATCGAGCGTAAAGTTTTCTCATCATCTGAAAGGTTGTATATTTGTGAAGTTACCTAGTTCGGTAAATTGGTAAATATTTCCCTAAGCCAGTTTTTGATCTAGTGCAAGTTAATTGCAGCTCAAACTCAGCCCAAGAAGAGAAAAGACCATGGGTTTTACGTGCTAAAGAAGCTTCAGTCCAGATTGGAAGCAAACCATCTCCGGCCCGCATCCCTCAATCAGTGCCACAAACCCTTATTTATATAAGTTGTGGATGGGAAAGTTTTAAAGAGGTATTTCCACACTTAATGTTTTATAGGTGTATTTGGTTTTTTTTTTTTTACCCCCTCAAACTTGAATTTTCTCTTTATATTAATTCTATAAGTTGCTGACAGGACTGCAAGTCATTGTTGTCTAGTAAGGCATGGTATTTGGAAAAAGCTCATGCCTTTAATTTCTTTCCTGGTACACAAAGGTATTTATGTTTCTTTTATCTCTTATTTTTTTTAATTAAGTTTTAGTATTTACTAATTGTGATATTTTCTTTTATTCTTGCATAAAAAATCTTAATGGAGTTGACGAATCTTCCCTTTTTATCATTCTCTGCATTAAATTCAAATTATATTTCTGCTTTGTTTTTATCTAGAACATAAACCTTCGATATAGTTTTAATCCACATCAAGTACTTATTTTTCTCTAATGATTCAATATACATATTGGTTACTTTGAAGACCATGTATGTATATACACCATATCATGTACAACTCACGAATTACAGTTTTGCATTTGTTTGTGTACAAGTGTAAGTGAGTGATAGGAGCTTTTAACTTTTAAGTGTAGTATGTCCAGAAGGGGATAACCTATCCAAGTATCCAGGTTAGACTCATGAAACATGATCACTAACAGCATGTTTGGTTCCACTTAATTCTAGATGAATAATCACTTGTTTTTCAAAAGTTCTCCTCTTGGGAAGCAGAAAGAAGTAAGTGATTTCAAAATAAGGTGATCTAAACATGCTCAATCAATAATGGAAACGCCCCATAAAACTGAATTTTGGAGATGAATGAACTTGGCTTGTTCTTAACAATATTCAGCTTCCCTGCTCAATGTCCTCCCACATAAGACAATGCCACTACATGATATTAGTCCTGGGACTAGTCAAACGTGTCATATTTGATCTTTGATACATGTGATGGATTAACTTGGAAGGCATAGTTGTTCAACCCAAATTTAACTTGCTACTAGCACTACAAGCTTTATGTTTGTAATCTAAACATGAAACCAACTGGAGACAGTTGACCATTACTGTTAGGATCCCAATGGCAATGTATGAGACTTGAGTCCCACATTTGAAGTATGGAATTCTAGTATGCGCTAAATAAGACCTTGGGTTCTCCAACTACTATGGCTAGCTATTGTGGTATGGTTCTCCCAAGGATTTTATCAATTACCCCGTTGGTTCATACATAAAATTACAGAATGATTCCTTGAGGGAGTGATTATCCTATCTCCATTAAATGCCTGCTTTATATATAATCTATAACAACTTGTATTAGTCCCCCACCTGAGTTTCTTCTCCCCCCCCCCCCCCCCCCATTTAAATTTTATTGTAGCCTTTTTCTGTTCAGAAGTAAAATAAGGATACATTGACCAGCTGATTATATGACTGTAAATCCAGAAAAAGAAAGATTATTAATTTTTCATTTGCCTATTGGTTGCAGCATTGAAGTTCTAGCAGTGTTCAAGAGGGGCCCTCAGAAAAAGAAACAAGGAAAGAAAAAGAAAAAACACTTGCAAGGAGCTGTGAGACATTAATTAGGACATGGTTCAATACCCTGGTTTTGTGTACACCAGCATCAGTGTATAATTTTGCATGGAAGAAAAGAAATGGATAAGTTTTATAGCAGTCTCGAGTGAAAGGGAATGGTTCAATACCATTGTCAAGTTTTGGGGGAATGTTGTGGGGTTGGGATTGTTTGTAATGGTGGAAAAGGGAATATCGTTTCATCATTTGATAAAATTGTGTTGAAGGAATATTAAAATTTGAATATAGTTGACATCGCTTTTTGTATTTTATTCATCTCCATGCTTTTGATCCAAGTAATACAAAACTGAGGAACAACTGATGGAATTAAGAAACCAACTTGTCCCTAGAGAGCTGCTTGGCCATTCAATGACTAGGAAAGCTTCAGTTCCTCTTTTCTCTGCCCTTTGATTTTGCCAGGTGAGGAAAAACTGTCAGAATGTTGTGGGCAAGTAGATCCTGCCTGGTCAAGATCCCAATTACAGGGGATACCTATGAGGAGATGGCATCATTTGGTTAGTCATATGTTAATTTGAAATAATTAAAGATCAGCCATCAATTTTATTTTGCTTGTGAAAGGCTACAAGAAAACAATTTGATGTGTCTATTCATGTTTGAATGGTGTTGATATTAATGATGTGTTTAATAAACTCACCCCGGAAGCTTGATACTTGGGTACTACAAGCAGATGGCGAAGTCCAACTTGCCTGAAGAGGATCATTGCTTTTGCTACTGACATGCTCTCTAGCACTGTAAAGGGAGTTGTATTGGTAAGAGGATGTAGATCAACAAACATCTCCATTTCCTCACTAGTCACAGCCACCTCTTCAATACTTCCTTCTCTCTCAGCTAGCTCTATCCAGGTAAATTTCTCTCTCACTTTCCAGTCCTCTGTTCTCTTTCTCTCTTTCAAGAACCACTTCTTCTTTAGTGCCTGGATGAGATGTGCTCTTAGAATCAGTCCATGCAGTTCTGTTGCTACACTGATCTGTCCTACCGGTGGTACCACCCCATCATCCATAACTGGGAAACCATTATGTGTAGTATTTTTCAAGACATTTACTATGTTGGCTACCTTTTCTACTCCATGGAGGGTAAACACTGCTGGCTTTACATCAACAAGCTCACCTACAGTGAGATTTCTCATCCATGGCTCAGGATTTGCATCCATGAAAGGAAGGCCTTTCAAGTGCAGTATCATCTCATAGATGCTTGGGTTGAAAGTATCTCCAACAGTTTTGGCTATTAGGAGAACAATCATTGTTATTGGTAGTAGGAGTAGATTGTTGGTGAGTTCAAGGAAGATCACACAAAGGGAAACAGTCATCCTCATGGAACCAGCCATGAGGGAGGCTGCACCAAGTACTGCAAACAACCCTTGGTCAATGTTTGTATTAGGTCCCATGTAGATGCCAAGGAGGCGGCCATAAGCTGAGCCCATAAGGATGATTGGGAGGAAGAGCCCTGATGGCACTGCAATTCCAAAAGTAATTAGTCCTAATACGCAATAGAGTACAAAGAAAATTAGGAGGGACAAGGGTTGATATTCATGAGGGGTGTTGGTTGAGAATATGTTTCGGACAGCATCATCATTAGTGGTAAGAAGCAGAGTAGCAAGATCATTGTAGAAGCCAGGTGGGCAGTTGAATTGTTTAAAATTTCCAGACCGTCCATTGGTAGGGCAGACAGACTCTGGAAGCGATGAATTACATGGGGTGCATTTTGCTAAGAATGGGAGACCATATTGACACACTGATGTGAAAAGTGCAACTGCAAGACTGAGGAGGAGTTTATGTATTTTTCCTTTCCTGCAATAAAGGTAGAAACTCCCTTAGTAATCATGTGATTCCCATATGATCAATTTTGGATGTTTTGGCACTTGCATTGCTTCATTATAGAGTACGAATCCAGGATACAGTCTGGGGAGTAATTCTAACATTCACCCTTTAAGTTAGGGTTCATCCATGCACCTTGCATCTATTACTGTTGGATCTGAATAAAATAAATAAATGTTACTTTTTTTGTTAGGATCCAACGGTTACACATATTAGGTCTATGGATGCACGCTAACTTGAAAGAGACCATTGTAGAATCCCTCAGTTTATACTGCAAGTTTGGTTCGTCAGATGCCATGATTGATTTTGCGGTTTTCTTTATATTTTGGCCTGAGCAGCTGAGCAAATATATGTTTATAATCTTGTTGGCAACGACTGGCACAACATTGTCTCAAATAGATGATGCATGTGTGGTCAGTAGACAACTTTTATCATGATACTTTTTTTCATTTTTCTGCAATTATGTGTCCTTAAAAGATCAGGTGCATTATGTTTAGAGACTAGGGTTTGGATATGGCTGCTTACTGATTGATGAGATTGTAGAGTCTGAGGACCTTGTATAGAACATGATTGTAAAGGCTTCCCAGTACCCCGCCTATGATTCCAATGACTACGACAAGGACTATATCCATAACATGGTGCCTCACAGTGACATTGCTCACATCAAACATGATCAGCCCTCCTTTACCAAAAAGCCCACATTTCCCAGAATTGCAGATTTCAATGAAGGCTCTGAGCACCATTACCACCACAGCTGTGCTGAAAAAAGTTCTCCATAGAAGAGCACTTCTCCACCAGGTTGCCACCTCTTCAAGAGCAAAAAGAACTCCACCCACAGGAGCCCGAAAAGCTGCACAAACTCCTGAAGATGCACCACAGGTAATAAGATCTCGACGGTCACGATCATTGTTAAAATATCTAAGCCAGCGCCATTTGATCCTGTAGTTGTCAGGGCCTCCTTGGCCTAGTAAGGAAGCAATGCAGCTTCCTATGTGTACCAACGGTCCTTCTTTTCCCAAATCTAGGCCTGCAGAGACAGCTCCAATGCTTCCAACTATCTACAAGAAAAATTCATGAGCTATGATAGGAAGAGAACTTCTAGATTTTTGTAGTTAAAGCAGTGATTATCAAATAGGGATATGATAAAGGACTTGGTAATTTGTTGACAACATTGATGTTAAATGTGAGCACCATTTGCGTTGTAGCACCGGGGTCGTTTTTACCAATAACGAGACTTGTAAACTTGATTATCCATATTTATAACTGCCGTTCTATTCAAGGAGAAGCATAACTTATGTATTATACTTTAGATAATGCTGTTGACGCTTCATAATTGTTGGACAAATTACAAGTCTTGAATGATTGAAACCGGCAACACTGACATCACGAGCCATCTTTTGCAAGCGCTTTATTATTAATAATATTATTATTCCTATTACTACTACTACTTTCTCAACCTTTGACGCTTTGCTGATTGTACCGAAATTGCCGTATTATATTATTATATTATATGTATAATTCCAGAAATCAGCCGCAAATAATGAAATTGTCTGGGACCCTTATGTGGATAGAAGGAAGAAAACAGAAATGAAAGGAAAGTGACGGTAGAAATTATTCATTGTTTGGATCTTCTGTATAACAGAAAGAAAGATGCTAAGGAAATAAACAAACCCTTGTTAGCAATGGATTATTTACCCACATACCTTCATGGACCTCTTTCTAAACCCCAAAACATACCGTTAAGAAAACCTTGTAATTGAATTGTCTACTCATCTTTTCTATAAAGCGTAACTACAAATATATATATATATATATATATATATATATTATCTTAATTATAAAAAATAAAGATCTACTTTTAGATGTATTATTTGCTAAATTCTTTTTATATCTTTAATAATGGTGAGATTTATGTTGATGAGGTAAATCAGACTAAAAGAATTGGCGTGTCGTAAAATACAAGCCAGCATGCTTACCTTGACAATCAATGTTGTAGCACCGAACATGTTGGGAGTATCAACACCATTAAGATAAGCTTTTATTTCAGGAATTCCAGGTCCAGCTGCTGTGGGTGCAAAACACACACACAAAACAGCAGCAACAAATGTCAAAATGAAATTAATGCCCGTGAAATATAGGAAACCCGTCCAGTACCTGTCCCATGCATATTCACACTCATACCAACTTAATGACACTGTTGAAGCCCAATCATTTGGGAAAAAAAAGAAAAGAGAATTGACAGTTATAAAATATTAGAAAAAAATGGGTGTGTTGTTCTGACCTGACCTTGCGGATGAATTTAAGAACAAGAAGAAATTTGTACCCTGCAATGTTCTCAACAGCAAGATTGATGAGAGTGGCTATAATACCAGTGAGAAGTCCAACAAGGAATGCTAGTGACCATTTCAAGAATATGTATTGCAACACTTGAGCTCTTGATCTGCTCCTCCAATCATGCTTGAATAGATCATTCTCATTTATCCTAAATAACAAAGCCTTTTCTAATGAGAAAAAAAAAAGAGAACCTTTTGGTGGTGGAAAGAAACAAAATACATATACCAGGATAATGCTTCTCTTACTCATAATCCAAGCTTTCTATGTAGGAAACTTTTTCTCCAACTAGAGCAAGTGGATTTGAAGACAGTGTGCGGTTCCTCTTGAGTAGTGACTGATTCAGTGAATTGCTTTCTGGGTCTAGTTCTTCTTCTCTTTCAACTTCTTCCATTTTTTGGTTGATTATTGTGCTTTCTCCGAACTCCCGAGAATCCTCTCCCATGGGAACTACACAGATGAGGTTGAGGTAGAGAAGAGAGCTTATATAGCTCTGAAGTTGGTGAGCTTTTTGTTTGTTTTGGATTAGAACAAGTTGAACCACCTCACCTATAAACAAGTGGAGACTTGTTACGTTTAAGCCTAGTTGTTCTTATGTATGTTGCCTTGCTAATTATTTATTGAATAGTAAACTAGACGATTGTTTTATCTAAATGATTCCAAATGGTATTATTCACACTTAAAAAGTTGCATGATGGATAGAATTAGAAATGTTATGGCATGAAATACTTGGAGATGAAATTTAGGGACCAAAAGGAACTTGTCTTTTCAAATCAGAGTAGCTCCTATCCTAAACTGGAACTTTTGGCTAGAAAAAGGTATAAAATAAGCTTATCATCAAGCAAAACTACATATTTGTTGAAGATGTTACCTTTTATAATCCAAGATTCTTGGCTCATAATAATGGTTGGGACCAGAGACAGTGAAATGCAACTGTTCTGTGCGATGAATGGATATGGATGATAAATATGTCATTGTTCAATCTATATTATTATGATTTTTAAGGTGTTAGTATTGTATTACTATTGAAAAATAATGTGTCAAATGGGTGCTTACAAGTTGTCATCTAATATGTGAATATGAGGGCTACATCGATGTTTTATTTTTCATTGTTTTAGATGTAAGCTTTTGTCCGTTTCCGAAGGATTCCACTGCAACTATCAAAAGAAAACAAATTAAATATGCTATTTACTATATTTATTTAATTTTGACATGTAGCATTCTACCATTCAAGATTGTTATTATTATTATTATGATGATGATGAGTGCATCCATTTAAGATTATTTATTTTTGAATTATTCACAAACAATTTTAACCCAAAGGTGCTGGAACGAATGGCTTGCTTCGCAAAATATCTGATCAGAGGTAGCAAAAGTTGAGATTTATTTAACTTATTATTGGGCAACTTCTATCCATTAACTTACATCAACACAATGATAAAAATCCAAATTAAAAGGTAAAACAATGTCTATACCAAGGAAGGGAACTTCAAGCCTTAAAACAATATTTGTGAGTTAGGTTGAAGAGGGGAGAGGAGGAGAGGAAAGGGATTAAAAGAGATTTAATTTTGTTTGAAAGTTGCTTAATTAGGAGAGAGAAGTTTTGGGAGTTTTTTTAAACCCTTCAAAAGCTTATTTTTTGAATTCTCCCATTTTGGAGTTTTCTCTCTTCCACTCTCATACTATTTCACAAATAAGATTTTAACTATTTTAAAAAAATATTAGTTTTTTAAGTGATAATTTTTTAGAAAAAAAATAAAAAATAAAAATATTAATTTTAAAATTATTTATATAATTAAACCTCTGTATCACCCTCCCTTCTTAATATTAAACATTCAAACAATGGAGGAGTTTAACCTTCCTTCCTTTTCCCTTCTTTTTCCTTCAAACTCTTTTTCTTCCTCCTCTTCTAAACTCCTAAATAAAGCCTAAGTATGTTAATATTCCTTATCTCACCCTCTTTCTAATTTAACTTTCTAAATTAAACATTGAAATGTTTTCTTGCATGAACCTCACCAATACCAGAATCACTTAATCACATCTAAAGAATATATTTTCTTAATCAATATCACCTCTCTCACAAGCTAGGTACTAAACAAATTTATTTCATAGTTTCTTTTATTAACACTATTTAATATTTTAAAATTTAATATTGTTGTGTCATTAAATTTTTTTTTTTATGATCCTATAAGTAGTCCTAGGTTTGAATAAAATAGGAGTGTTAACAATGTTAGATTTTTGTTAGTTAACGTGAAATTTGTCAAAATCAATTCATAGATTACTCATTATGATATTATATTAGAGTTAGGTTGTTACCTTAAAGTAACCTTTTGTATAACTTGAATACAATATCAAATAAGTTAGAGTCAATACATTAACACCAATATATAATGTTAAATTAGAAAGAGTTCTCATATATCGGTTGATAGATATGAGTAAAGAAGACAATTCAGTTCATGAATGCTTGATCAAATTTAGTTTATCAAATATTGATATTTTGATAGGTAAATCTTTAGAAGTGATGAATGCTAAGATTTGAAGAAACATTAACATCATGTGCTTTCAAGAAACAAAAATAATTAGAAAAACAAGTTAAAGAGCTTGCCATTACAAATTTTAAACTTTGGTATCATTATGGACAAAAATTAAAAAAAAAAGAGGTTACAAGAATTATTGATAGAATCATATGATTGAAGTTAATAGTTGCACATAAAACTATTAATACATCAATGTATGATTTGTAAGTTGGCTTTAAAGCTCTTTTGAATGAAATTTTTTGGAAGATTGATTCAAGTTATTCCATAGAACAAAAGTATTTTCATAGGTGAAAGTCTAAATGGTTGCATTTGTTGTGAAACAAGACAAATTATAAGAACCCATAGAGATTTTGATTTTGGAATAAAGGACAAGATAATCTTGATTTTTCATTTACATAACTTCAAGATTATGAATTCTTATTTTATGAAATAGGAGGAACACTTTATCACTTATAAGAGTGAACTTTTAAGGTCACAAATAAATTTATTTATAGTAAAGTTCTGAAAAAAGAGTTTATAAAGAGAAGTGTTATGAATAAATTTGGAAAGAAAAGATGTTTATGTGACATATATCCAATTTATATAAAACATGTATGATTGGACAATAACAAGTATAAAAACTTTTGAAGACATATTTAGGACGACTTTCTTATTAAAAATAAGTTTATATCAAGACTCATCTTTAAGTCTTTACTTATTTAACTCACTTTTAGACGTAATTACAAGTTACATACAAAAAATTATTCTCAATTTTTTTTAAAGATAATATAGTTTTAGTTAAAGAATCAAAAGAAGAAAAAAGATAACGATAATACTTCGGAAGTTAAAATTAGAGATGATATCGTACCACAAATTTTAAATTTAAGCATTTGAGATCAATTATATGAAATAATAAAAAAATTAATAAAGACGTTAACACTTACATATAAAATATAAGTTAGGTGGTTAAAATACAAAAAAAAAAAAAAATACTAAAAAATATTTATGATCATAAAGTACTTATTAAGTTAAAAAAAAATTATCATATTATCATACAATCAACTATTCTTTATGATAATAAATGTTGGACCTTAAAAGATAAAAGTTACATAAATAAAAATGTTAAAAATAAATAAATGATTATAAAAAAAATATAAGAGGACTATTAAAAACATTAGTAAAGAAAATAAATAACATGACTTTTAACTAAATAAAGATAAACTTAAAAGGACTTTAAATAATATTTTAAAAATTTTATTTTTATTAATTCAATAATATTTCATAATCCATATAATTGATATTGCTTCGTAAGAGATATTCTAATTTGTTTGATGCATGAGTTTTATACTTTAGTACAACATAATAAATTCCATTAAAAAATTTACTATTCTAGATGACTTTGGTATAATAATAGAAAGTGAGTGTATCTTTGGATTCGTTCTGGAAAAAGTTAATTATGTAAAATAAGATCATGTCTTTGGAAAAAAAAATGATTATGTCTATAATTTTTAGGAAATTTAATCATAAAAAAATATTTTATATTTGGTATATTAATATATCAATGATTATAAGATTAGGTTGTGTGAATTTGATAAAAAAAAAGAAAGTATGCATTGAAAAATCAAAAGAAAGAGAAAAAATAATTAAGAAAGATATTTAATTAGATGAAAAAGAATAATTATCTAAAATAAATTTCATAACACCATTAAAAATTTTTATTCATTTTGCTAAAACAATTTCTTTAAGAAAATTAATTTATTTTCCAAAATATTTAAACAAAAGAAGACGTGTAGCAGTTAATAACTAGTCATAATATCCGTATTTTACGTGGAGTTTTTATACATATATTTTACACGGATTAATCTAAAAACTGTGTTAAAAGATATTTTATTTATGTGTTATAAAAATAATAATAAAAATTATAATTTGAAGGATTAAAAAATAAATTATTAAACTTAATTATCCAGTAAATAAATTTATCAATAATTATAACACTTTTCTAATTGTTTTTCGTTCTTCTTTTAATAGTATTGTTGGATTTTCATTTCTAAAATTTTAAATATAATAATAATAACAATAATTTAATATAAAATTTAATAGTATTTATAATATTTATGAATATTTGTATTATTATGAGATAATATTAAATAATGTTATAGATTCATAAATACTAATAAATAAACAAAAATTATAAGGTAATATTATAGCCAAATTTAAATGAATCACAAGAATAGATACGCAAAATAATTAAAATCTTAAATAGTCAATATGTTGAAAAAATAAATAATAAAATCTTAAATTAATTTAGTTAGGAATTAACTCTCATTTTAACTTATGATGATGATATTAAAAGTAAAATTTGTTTAAGTTAGCTTACAAAATAAATAATCTCATCTTAAATAGATTAAGAGATTTAAGATGTTATATTAAAATTTATATTTATTAATTAATTAATTTTTTATAAATAAAATCTATTTATCTATCTAAGTTAAAAAAGTAAAATAAATAATTTATTGCTAAAATTAAGAATTTTATAAAATTAAAATAAATAATATTTTTAATTTAAGAAATATTTATTTATTTAATAATAAGAATGAGATTTAAAGTCATGAATGATTATTTATTTATACAATTTGAAGTCATTTGACATTATAAGCAGTAAAATTACTTTTTCAAATATTTAATACAACTGTATTTATTAAAACTTAAAATTATATCTTAAATTAAAATAATTATTTGTTTGTTAATTCAAATGTTCAATAGTAATTTGAGTATCTTTTACAAATATATAAAAAATTACATATATATATATATATATATATTTGTTATTAAAGGGGCAAAAGTCCAACAACCAAAACTACATAAATAATTTACTGAACATTAGACTATAAGAATCTAAACTCAAGAAAAGGAGAAGAGAAAGAAGAGTATCATAGAAATGAGAGATGGAAGTAAGCAGATCTAAGCCTAATTTGGCCAATAAGTCAGCACACATATTGACCTCCCTATAGATATGTAAAAGTCTAACAAATTTAATGACTTTCAATACTCCTCTAATCTTACAAATTAAAGGATATAAAAAATGATTAGTAGGTTGAATATTCATGAGAGAGCAATTGCCTCATTGGAATCAAATTTAATCTAGATAGTTGGTATATTAAGTTAGATTACCAATTGAATGCCAAAGAAATTACTCTAGAGCTTAGGGGCTAGGGGGAACAATACTTAATTTTGCCATAAAATCCAGCAATGCAATTTCATTTAGTATCTCTAATG